ACAGTCATGTTTTGTCGATCTTGGATGCTTGACATATAAATTAGAGGAATTGTTCTAAGAATTCAATCTTATTATCATCTTGCAACTAATAACTTCTTCATCTGATTCTGATTGATAAGAAGATCAAATTCCTATAACAATTCATCTAAATTGTATTTCAAGTGACGTTGATCTCAAGCAGACTTGAAATTGGACCAGTGACCAGTTCAGAGTGACTATGGGCGTTGGTAAAAACATACTCACAAATACAATAAGACTCATGACCACACACTTCTACTAATATATGGAAACTCACTGCTTTGATTACAGTTTTCAAGCATTTTATTCGAATCGAAGACAATGTAACGAGTGTAGTCTATACAAGGGAAAACATGCGAGACTTTGGAGCAGTGAAATCTTGGATTTTTTCCGCTTGACATTCACGTATTTCTCGTATAACAATATCAATTTAGTTCGACGGCTCTTGATATAAAGTGATATTTTCTCTTCTTTCTTTCTCAAGTGGTAGACATTTACTCTAACCTAGCATACTTCAAAAACAAGTTGACTTTTGTCCGACTCATGTACAAATTATCGAGCTCCCTTCTAAACTTAATTACCAGCCTCTTGCTTACCGTTCTCTTGACTATTTTGATGCTACTGCATTCTATTGTACTAAAGTTATTCGCTAAAAAGTTTGAAAATCCCGTGACAGATGAAATTCATCATTATCTACGAAGGACTCAATTGATTTTCCCACTTGTTCATGTTTTTCTGGTCCTTATTATTTCCGGTGACATGAGGAGTGTCATAATAACTACTGTGGATGTAGAGAAGCAAGAAGGCGACACCCATACACCCACACCCGTACATTCTGAATGACTATCCTTTTCTTGACATTGTACTGATCTTATGATTACATCTGTGCGTGTTGATATCTTCACATGTACAATTATACTCAGTAGAGCAAACTATCGATCGAGACGAGAGTCTACGAAGAATATACGGTATTTAACGTCGACCGTATAATGGATCGTTTACTGCTGCCACATAGGGAAACTCACGACATTACCAGACCGTCATTTACGACAGCAAGAAATGACAGTTTTTCACGATGCCTGTATATGATACTAGTAAAACGTCGAAAGTACTCGCACACAATAGCTGTAAATGACTGTCGCGAACGGTTAACGTAATCCATCGTAACTGTTGTGCATACAGCCATTTACGGTAGGGAATGATTGACCTGGGGAACGCCTCAAACCAGAGGCGACGGAGCCATTAGGCTTGGAGAGACTTAAGCCTCTCCTAAAAAGAGATAGGGAGGCTTGGGGAGGCTCAAATATTTGAAAACATTTTAGAAACATAATCCTGAGTTTATCCCTTATTAGCGAGAATTCTTGGACAAGAATTGTCAAGAGTTTTTCTGAATAATAGACTCAGTCAAACATTAGATTGCCCATGTGTACCACTATAATTCTTTGAAATATCTTCATCTTCATCTATTACTACTAGTAACTTGTTGATAGAGCTGAATAGTGGACGCATTCAATTTGTCTGTAGTGCCTGTATGTCTTTGTTGATCATAATCATTTTGCTCCGCCCCTATTACTACAAAAGATTTTGAAGTAATAGAAGAACAGTAATCTTTTGACAGACAAACTCTTTGCTACACTGTATGACAGCACATCTGTTTCAAAACAATAAGAAAAAAACTAACATTGTTGCTAATGACCAGACAGTTAGTTCGAACGTATCATTCATTAATGTTGCTGACTATATTAACGTTCCCTTTTATTTGAAAGAGGATATTAACAAGTTCTTATTTTTAAAGTCAAATCCATCAACACGGTAGAAAATGTAGAATTTGTGGCTACAAATAGAAAGACACTGAGACTTTTCTCTCTGTCAAAAACGATATGGGCCGGATGTTTCGATATGTACTATAATTTTTATCGTTATTGTGAACTTCAGATCATTTAGATATATCCATGTGACTTTACATGCACTCATTCTGATATATTTTTGAGAAAAGACAGCAAGAGAACCAATTTTAATGATAAGATCTATTACAAAACAGTCCAATGTACACTTTTTTATTGTTATAATAGTTTTCGAACAGCCACGAACAACCTACTGAGAAGAAATGACATCAATATTCCTTCCTTTTAAAATGTTTCGAAAAATGATTGTCAAATAATACTAAAAGATTATTATAACCTGAAATTCACAATAAAGATCAAAATTCTGGTAGATATAAAAAAGAACGTTCCATATTGTTTTTAATGTCAAAGAAATTCTAATGTTTTTCTTTTTGTAGTGACAAGTCTTACTTTTGCTACTTTGCTGATGAGCTTGATCTTTACAAATAAAACATTTCTAGGTGCCTCTTTCAAATAAAAAAAATTTAGATTAAGCTTTATTGGTAGTGCAGTAACATGCATTTACTAAGTGGTAATGACTTTTGGGACATCCTGAATTAGCTGATTATTTTTAATCATCCTAGCATTGCTCATATAAAGAAACATTAGATTAAGTGGAATAGAACAATATCTGCCTTCGTTTCCTTTTAAAAAGCAGTAGAAAAGATTTTTTGGCTGTGACTAGTGTACTATAGCTCTACTGGTTGTATTCACTTTAGGTTAAGTTTCAGATCTTTATTTACATACGAACCATCCACTCGAAAAGTTAGCATTGAGGTGAAATATGTCATTATGGTACAAGTTTTGATATGAACAAACCCAGAAATACGTTTAGAATAAAGTGAACATAATAAAACTAATGTTGTGGCTTTTTCTTCTGCCTCTTATCACCGTTTGGGAAAAAAATTTGAGCCTCCCCTAAATTGAAATCATTCCACCGCCACTGTCTCAAACCATCTTTTTTTGTCAAAATTACTCTCATATCCTTGTTATGTAATCACACTCGATCATTTTCAACATTTTCCTGTGCGTCTTTTATGAAAAATATTACTTCGTTAGTAAAGTCGGTATTTCAGCCATCCAGAACAAAATGGAAAATACAAATTATAAAATATTACAATGTCGTAAGTTTTCTTTCGTAGATTCAAGTATTCTTCAGCATTTTTTTGTGTTGTCATATATTGTTTCTAGTTGATACGATAATTTTGACCGAATGAGATTAAAATAAATGAAAATTATCTTCGTCCGAGTTTCTCTATTGCTCCGATTTAATACTAATAGTTCTAAGAGAAAGAAAAAGGTCAATTTAGTTAAAGAAATTATTCAAACTTTTCACCTTCCAAAGCTTGCAATATTTTGATAATGAAGTTCAAACACCGATAACACATTAGCAAGCGAATACCGTACTATTTTGCATATATGGACTTAAACGACTATATAAATAGAAAAAAGGAAGCAACAAAGTAATTATGCCTGTCTACAACAAACATAACATTCTTTGTTATGAGTAACAAAATCAATTTTATTTTATAAGACTTTTCATTTAACTATAGTAAGGCTGGTTTACACATATTGAACAGCCACTCAAATAAATCTCCAATAATTGTTCGTCGATTTTGACAAGTACTTCATCTTCGTTGCAGATATTAAGTGGAAATGCTTGACGACGCTTTTCTATAACATAGCTGAGTGAACGTGGATTATCAAACATATAGTTGATAGGTAAAAAATATTTTTAAGTGAATCAATTTAGCCAAACCAAAAAGAAGAGTTTCAACAAGTAATGTATATGTACCAAGGCAAATTATTCGAAGTACAATATGGACTAATGATGGAAACCGTTCGACTAACTTGGATGCATATTCTGAAGGAAAATAGACATCTTCCGGTATCAAATACAGTGATTTCAGTTGATAAAAAAACAGGTATAAGTGATGGATTGTCAAATAATGTTGGATGGAGAAGCAATGGAGTACCAACCACACGATGAATCACATTTGAACTTGCCCTATGAAAGAGAAAAGTCAGAGTCTTGAATGTATCGAATAGTCATGTTTAATTTTTTGCTCAGCTCATATCGGCTACTTTTTCCTCAAACTCGTTTATTCTTGCTGCAGAATTCTCCAGCCTTGGATAGAAATGTGTAATATTACCTATGGAGTTTTTTACGAATTATTTTTTCTATTCTCAAATTATGGTGTAATAAAGCTTTTGATGATCTATCGTTCCCAGGATTTCACTTTGGACAATGTAATTATTGGCGATGCCTCTTTTCGAGGATCTGCATCTTCACAAAACAAGCCATTACTCATCTCCTCCAATGATACTTTCAGTCTCAGCAACGTTCTAATATTATGTCAATTATTACTATGTGCACATAATGATCATGGTGGTCCTGGCCAATTAGTTCCTAAGTTCAGTTAGGAAGGTTATTCATAAGTTGAGTTAGATAATGAATTATATGTAATCTATTCACTACCTAGCTCAACTTCGGACCACTCTTTACTGGAATCGAGCATAACTCAGTTAGCTACTATGACAAGGCTAGGTCGTAGTTCATGATACACACATCATGCCTGAATAGTCTCTCTGTTTATATATATATATATCCAAGAATGGAACTAGGAGGATGATAGCCGAAAAGGAAGATCGTCAAAACGAAGATCGCTGATATAGATCATAGAAGGAAATTCGGCGATCTTTGTTTCGACAATATTTATTTCGGCAATCTCAATCTTCTGCGATATCGTTTTCGGCGATGAGGTAACGACTATTTGATCAACGTCCACATTATCAAAAGTGTTAACCTAATATGCTTACTAGCTAAATATAAAACTTACAACAAGATTTGTTTAATAAGATGTAATTGAGATATAACGTTCATTGGTCGAAATTCTAATTTCTTTATTCGAGTCAAATCAATGAAACGTATAATTTTGTTAGCACGTTCTTCTTGATCAAACATATCATCAGCACAATGTATATCAACTGAAAAAGGTAAACACATGAGAGAATTTGCCATACTATGAAAATTGAAAGCAAAAAAAATAAACAAATAGTTTCTTCTTACCTAAATCCAATTCACTTCCCTGTAATGTTGTACTAGATGATACAATCTCAATTACCAGACAATCAAGGTTTTTAAAAAGCGGAGAAGGTGATGGAATATCAATAACTCCCATATTCAATGGCAGGAAGATATGCAAATCTTTGTAATGAGAATAAAAAGATGGTTTTAAGTATTTATTGTTACTGTTGATTTCATATTTAATGTGTCAAGCACCATCTTTTCTCCCAAGAAATAGGTATTTTGTGCTTCTTTCGAATGCCTGAACGCATGTAATCGAACTTGCTCTTCTAAAAGATATTCTCACTTTTCAGCAGACCAATAATGATTTTATCTTACGTTGATGATTGGGACTAGGTTGTGACCGACTGATTGCCACATGAAAGGCATTAAATTTTGTAACAAAATATTGAAATGAATGGACAATAGCGTTCATATCAAGAAACGAACTAGGATTCGCCATGTACAAGAAAAAATCAATTATATCCAGGTGAGGTGCATGGCTCGTCAACAATCGTTGCCATTGATAACTTTCAAACAAGACTGCCGAGAAAGGTGAAATTGATAATGAAGACTTGGCTGCAATAATGAATCGACGAAGATTAGGCATACAGCGTAGAATAAGACTTAATACAAGAAAGTCACATACTGTACTAATACTCAGATTAAATAATGTTATTGATGGTGATACGGGTAAATTATCTTCGTAATTAGATGGTAATATTGATTCCCTAAAACAAAGGACATATACGTACTATAGTTCTAAACTACATTACGAATGATAGTTGAATAATTTCGCTGAATTATGTTAAAATACCGATCTGAGAATGGATTAAATTTCCAATATTTGTTGTCGAATGAGTCAATACAATATAATTAGAATAGATCTGAGTTAACATCAGATATTCTATTTACATCAGCAACAAATCAATTAGTCGCTTGCTCAATCAAAATATTTATATGACTGTCTAAGAACTAGTAGCAAGCTTTTGCCAATAGTAAGCTCAAGAACAAAAATAGTACAACTAACTTGAACAATAATATAGAAAAAAAAGTCATTCCTAACTTTGCATACAGTCTCATCCAGTATAAACATTGTAATTAGCTAATCCAAACTGATCCTTTCGTGAATGTTACATCTACAAAGTCAATGCTTTACATCATATCGAGTGACTTACACTGCAGGATGAGTATTCGAGCTATCGTCATTTGATATGCGAACATGTAAATGCCGCAATGCACGATAAGTACGAAGCACTGACAAGATACAATAGATAGAGCAAGTACCAGATGAGCCATGGAAAGTCATAGAAAGTGAAGTTAGTGTCGAATTGAGAGCAGTATTAACAATTAAATCGAAGTGATCATAACGAAAACGAAGAGTGACTGAGCGAAGTTCAGGCCATCTGTGCATCAAAATAGTTTGACTCAAATATCGTTTGTCTGTTTCACAGAATGATATTTTATACGGTTGCTCTACCAGAAACGACACAAGTTTCGTAGGATTTTCCAGTTGTTGAATGATGCTATAAAGTTTTGATGATGAACAAATTGTGTAAAATTTGCACGACCGAAGACTAAGAAATGTATGTTGATTGAAAAAGAAAGAAATGACAGATGAAAAATCGCGAAGTTGATCTGGAAGAGAGAGGAAAACCACTTGATGAGCATGATGAGTGAGATGAGAAGAAAGAATGTCAACTTGACGACGACAATGAAGTTTTGAAACAACAACATGAAGTCGAGTTGAATATAGAATTGATGAAATGCGTTTATTGAGTGAAGAAATGCCATAAAAAGATCAAATGCATGTAAATAACAAAAAATTTCCAAGAATATTTCATTAGCAAAGTCTTCCAGTTGAGTGATATTGTCCATCGTATTTTTCATCAAAACGGTTAATTGTAATTATATTATATAGAAAACTCTTATATAACGGAGTCTGTTGAATGGCGTCAATATGTAAAGGTCATCCATTGTTTTACATCTACAATCATGAGCTGCCTATAAGGATCATTGACGACTGTATTTAATGAAAAATTCAGACGGCTTTTATTTCTCTCTCACCCTATGTCTCAGTAGAGGTGTCGAAAAGAAATATTTCGACAGAGTTAGCTGGATTGCACTCATCTGATCTGATGTTTTCTTATTCGCACTCATTATATGAAATTTTTCTTAACATCTCCATGTTGATAACGTTGAGAATTAGATGAAACCTAATAATTTATGCTGAACAGATAAGATTATGTGCTTCGTAAATTCTTTATTGCACAGGATATATTAACATCGTGATTTTTGAGCAATAATCGTCCTATTTGTTGTTTTATTCTGTATTTCAATTTGTGTATAAGTATTTGAATGATACTCAATGCGACAGAAAAGTGTTTGTCCTTGTATATATGCCAAAAGAAATTCTTTTGTGTCAGATAAATTATGTGTTTTTTGGTAGAGCCATTTAAAAGCATCGTTTGACTTTTATCTCTTCCAAGGTTAACAATTCAAACAAAGGATGACGAACAAATCAGATTAGAACATCTGTAATAAGCAACACCATAAAATATATTTGTTTTATTAACAAGAGCAAGCAACAGAGACAAACAATAGATTGTTTACTGATCAGACAGAAATATGATTGTCAAGCTCATAAATAATTTGCATGCTTGTTAAACTAGCACGCATTAACCTTGTAGCAACATATTTCAGAAAAAAAAGAATAAAATACGATTGTTGCAAGGAAATCGAAGTACACGATTTGTCCTTTTTATCCGTCTCACTATCATACGTTTGAATCATGGAGAAAAGAAAAAGAGAAAAAATTAAAAGAAAATATGCGCCTGTGAATGTGTGCGTACCTGTAGTTGGTCTGATCAATGTAACATTGTTGCAGAAGCGTAACTCATAAATACATTCGTTATTCATCATTCAATCGAAGAACAACTTTGAATTTCGTAATAACTATAATAATTTATTCTCTTTTATGACGACACATATTTTGTTGGCAAAATTCAATTTCTGAGAAAACCAACAACGATTCATGATGCGTAAGAAACCGATAGAAGAAAATAGCAAAGTACATATTTATTTTACCTTTGTATGCAGTTATTTTGCAGTAAGTCGTTGTGTACATATTACACTTTTGTGGAACTCACGTACATTTTCGAAGAAAATAGTGAGTGTAAGTTTTAAGTCGAAGTTTTCCGGCTTCCCCTCCATTACAGACATTAGCAATATAGACAAAAGAAATTGAACAGAGTTAACAATATGAAGTTGACTGTTCTAGAAAAATTTAGAGTATTCCAGTCTTCGCCGAAACTTGAATGGTTGAAATTCGTTTTTGAATACGTTAAATAATGTAGTTTTTGATTTTTGTGCAGAAAAAAATTTATATTTAGGATGTCATCGATAATGGAGAGTGACTTTGAAAAATAAAGAATGTCGCTGTTTGTGAGTTGATCAACACATTACAGTTCTTTTATGCTTCATATAAAAATAATAGGCAGTACCAAGAGTCTTCTTTGGCAGTTAAATCAATGATTAGAAAAATAATGTTAAATTATGAAAAACAAAATGTGATAATGAAAAATAACAAGAGAATAGCAGCAATACTAAACAGAAAACATGGTGCTCATTAAAAAAATGCTATTCGAAACGCAAAAATATATAAGAGAGATGTGGGTGTATGGGTGTGGATATTGATCTTGTTATTGCACCCACACCCACATCCACATGCGCATTTCAACAATGAAAGTGAGTGATTGAAAAGAGAAAAGCTTATCATTTGTAAAAGAAAAAAAAAGCTTAATATTTCACATACTACGCGATTTCTTTGAGGAAGTGGATCTCAGTATAATAAAAAAAACTCTTACTGGACGAAAATAATGTGCCTATATCCACTGCCATGAGAGTTTTTTATTCTAAGGACGACTAAAACCCAGCAGCTTCTCCTTCAATTGATTTTGGCGCTCATGGTAAGTAAACAAATAGAGAAATCCTTCAATGTTTGTACTAACATTTTGCAAAAGAGAATAAATAATGCAGTTTTCTTTCTCTATATTAATTTTGTCATGAAACATCTAATGTTGACTCACATTTCAAGTAAAATATCGAGATTGTATCGAGACGGATCGATATTTTGACCTTTTAACTAAAGTTCTGTAAAAGGGAACACACTACTCCAGTTTTGGTTTGTTAAGTTCCACTGTACTTTTCATAACAAATCGAATTTTCGTTAAAATTATCACGGAAAGTAATAGAGCCCAAAACCTAAAGTAGTGCGTTCTTTTTTTTCAAAAAAAGTTTTTACAAAAATGGAAATAGTCCGTTCATTGATAAATGGAATCATTAGTTCTTGTTACAATAGAAAGTAATTATTTTCTTTTTCAGATCTTATCTGCTTTTTAAAGATATCTGTATAAGAACATCATCCCATGAAAGAGATTCGCCAGCAGCTGGATAAGTCGATCTGATCATGTATAATTCAAAGGAATTTATATTTTACATTTCGGGATACCTTCTATACCCAAATAGATGGTTAAAACAGAGAACGAAGTAAAGAAAAACAATGTAATAACATTAGTTAATAATTGCCTCATCAATTTTCAGGCATGCGTTCTTCATTCATCAAATTCATCTCAACGGAAAAGAAACAGTACTGAAGCAATAAGAATCTTGGTTCATCGCTTTTCTTTATTTATAAATGCAATCTAGGCACGAACAAAATTATGATGAAAACTTGGCGCACAAAAGTAGGATTCATATTTTTTGTTTTCTTCACAAGCAACACAATCAAGAACATAAGAAAAAGCTGCATTGAAATGAAATTATTTTAGCAGAAACATGGATAATGTTTTTGATTCCAACACTTCAATTCAATGGCATTCAATAGTTTACAGATGATGTTGACTTTTGGGTAGAGTTTGTCTAAATATCAATGACGTATATACAGGGTTGTGCATAACCTTTTGCTAGGGGGGTAGCGTCATTATTTCAAGTTGAATACCTAATGAATTTTATACCAAATTAAAGAGCGTCGAAAACTGGATTTATTAGTACTAAAT